TGAGTAAATGTTTGTTATCATCTTTGTCCAGGGCACTGTTCACTCTAAAGAAAATTAGTGCTGAGAGGGAATAAATGAAGTCTATATGTTGTTATGAGTCATGAGAATCAGGGGTGTATATGAAAATATGTAATTTACAGAAATGTATAAAGTGGCAGCTTTTATGTTCACTTATTTTAAAGGCATGTGTTGGGGGAGCTGGCAAAGAGGAATACAAGGAGTTTGGATTTGAAGACAGTTCTCATGGTTCTGTCCCCCCGTCCCCTCTTTTTTTTTTTTTTTAATTTTGTGAAAACTGAAAATTTTAATTTAATTAATCATAGGCTATGGTCAGAGGCCTTCATGTTGATGGGTCATGCTGAAAATAAGAGATATGAGATTTATCAGATATGGTGAAGAGAATTACTTTGGTTCCCTAAGCAACTCATTTGATACTTTATCTCTAGTGCACAGGATATCAGTTAACATTGACTCACCTTTGAGTCACCAGCTATTGAGTTATGTTATGAGGACCTGCAGCCCTGTTATCACTCTTTTGTTCAGCGTTTATATAAAACCACTTCAGAAAATTGTGAAGCATTTTAGATATTGATTATTCTATGCAGAATTAGGAGTTTAGATAAAAGTGGACATTTCTTATTAATTAGAGGATATATGGGAGAGTTGGGGTGAGATTTTTGTAGCAAAGTTTGCTATTCTTGTTCTTAGTTTCATATCTATTCTGGAATACTTTTTTTCTCCTTAGGAGTACAGAAATTAAAATCATTTACCCAAGTATGAACTTTGTCAGCATAGTGCACACCAAGGAATTCTGTAAATAGAACAATTCTCCATTGCTTTCTGTAAGTCAGTGTCTTAATATTCAGTTTAATGTAATCCTTAGTTACAAAACTTAATGGCCTAGGTAAAAAGGTGATAATTAGGGCAGGGAGGCATATTGCTTAGTGTTAATTTGATATCCTCACAAAGGACACAATATTTTAAAAATTAACTAGTATGGTGACTGAAATTATGCTCATGTGGAATCTGAAATCTTAGGAAGACAGAGAGCTGTAATCTTGAGCATCATACATGGTGAATGCTGAGTTCTGAAATGATTCCTTGTAGAAGGGAAGGCATTTGCCGCCTAACATGTCTCTAGGAGACTAGCCTTAAAATAGATAAATAGAAAGTTTGCTAGGAAATATTTCTAGAGCATCCCACTATACCAATATGAAATTTCTGATATATCTATAATAATAAAACCATAATATGCTAATTAGATCGGACAGCCGAACAACCTTCCGGATGTCCTTCCAGATGAAGCCATGGTGGCAGGATGAGGCAAAGGCATTTAGGAGCAATCAAGCAGGCAAGTGAGCAGTTAGGGATGATCAGGCAGGCAGAGTGGTTAGGGGTGATCAGGCAGTCAGGAAAGTAGTTAGGGACAATCAGGCAGGCAGGCAGGTTTAATAAACTGATGCTTTCAAAGTCCAAATAGCTTGCACAAGGTCTCAAAGCTAGTAAGTGTTAGAATCAAAATTCAGACCCAAATACTGACTCCAAAATTTGTGTGCTTAACACTTCTTTAAATTGCCTTGTCAGGAAAAAGCTGAGAAGTGAAGGATGCTACGAGCTTTTTATTATTTCATGTAATCCTGATCATAGCACTGTGAGGTAGAGGTGTAATTAGTATCCTCCTTTTGTATATAAGGAAACTGAGGCTTAAAATCAGAATTTGTTTGAGGTCATATTGCTGGGAGACAACAGAATGGAACTCCAAGCTCAAATCTTTGTTTTCAGAGTCTGCTATTAACCACCGTTCAGTAATACCTATCATGTTTTTCTTTTCCTCCATATTATGGTTTTATTATTATAAATATTTCACAATTTAATTGGGAGGAGGGGTTGGTCTGGGAGAGTTGAGAGAGACAGGAATGTAAACAGGGTGATGGATGGCATAAAAGTGTGTATGAAGTGCTGAGGCCTATTCCGCTGCCTCTCAGTGCTATTGTCCCTGGACCTGGCTCCGACTAGGTCTCATGGAGAGCCGAGTGCTCTGGCTTCATGGAAGATGCCAGACCAGAGTGTAGCTGCCAGGAGGGCAGGTCCACAGACACTTGGCTGACGAGGATGAGCAGGCTGAACCCCACAAGTCATGCCCCCCACCAGTTCACGAATTCTGTGCACCAGGCTTCTAATAATCTCTACAATTCTAAATGTGTTACTTTCATAGTACCTTCCTTCCTTGACAACCTCTGCTTGAATATTTCCAGAGAGAAAGGATGCAATGCAGTAAGCTAGTTGTGGTTTTTTTTTTTTTGTTTGTTTGTTTTGTTTTACTAGCTCTAATTGTTAGAAAGTTTTCTCTTTTATTGAGCTGAAAATTCTAACAGTCTTAGTACTTTGCCAAGGACACACAAGCCCATGGTGAAGTCAAGAAAGGATTTAGACCTCAGGATATTTTTATATTGAGTTTGTAGTAAACCCTTTTTCTCTAAAGATCATAGTGTTTGCAAATAGTTTTTCTGCTACCATGTGTGCATGGTGCTCATAGAGCAGTCTTGAAGACACATTTTAGAGCAAAAGCTTATTTTAGATGTTTAAAAAAGCTTCTCTCAGAGCTACATATGAGTAGATGGCTTAGCTACTCTTATAAGTGTATAGTTTAATACTATATTTTTAAAATGTTACTGAAGTAATTCACATTTTTAATTAAATGTGTTTTTTTTATTTTACTAAAGTATAATCATAATTCAGTTCAATAAATTTTTACAAAGTGAACAGAGCAGTATTCAGAACAAGCAGTAGAATATTACCAGCAACCAGGAAATCTCTCATATGCTACCTATTTATTACCTAGACACTGCTTTGCTAAGAATAACTATATCTTGACTTCTACACCATTTCTTTTGGGTTTGGTTTTGGTTTTGGTTTCTTTTTGAACTTCATATAAATTGAATCATACCATATACACTCATTAGCTTCTTTAGCTTACTAATAGTGTATTTGTGAAATTAATCCATGTGTACTGTGTGGATGTAGTTTATTAATCCATTTTATATATATATATATATATATATATATATATATATATATATATATATATATATATATATTTGGAATGCTTATTATATTTGCTATAGAGTATTTCACTGTGTGATTGACCTCAGTTTATTTCTCTGTTTTTGGTTGATTATTGGATTATTGCACAAATCTTTTGGTGAACCAGTTAACTGCCAGGCATCCAAAATGGAAACCATCCTTCTTGTGTCTATAGATGTTTATGGCGTACTAAGGGTGAACATTTGTGCACATTTCTACTGGAGATATCTAGGAGTAGGATTGTAAAACCATGAATGTTCTTGTCAGGTACCTTCAAATTGGGTTTAGAGTATATGTTCCAGCAGAAAACAGGATGGTAATCAAATCAGCCTCAGGACTGTAGACCAGGCTCTGGAGTTATATTTGAGTTCTATTGTGGACTGAATTGTGTCCTCCAAAATTCTTAACTTGAAACCCTACCCCTTAATGTAACTATACTTGAGAGAGCCTTTAAGAAGGTAGTTAAGTTCAAATCTACATATATAAAAGACTAAGTGTCCGTCTGACTAGTAGCTATGATGTGCACTGACTGCCAGGGGTCAGATGTTCAACACTGGAGTTGCCATGACACACACTGGCCATTTAAATATAAATGAAATCATGAACCTGGCGCTGACAAACCAACACTTGGCTTCCCCCAAGTGGAACACAGGCCCTGCCACCACCCCGTAGCGACACCCCACCATATCGCAGCCAATGCTGCCAAAACCCCATGGTGCAGAATGCAACCCACAGCCCAGTCCAGAAACGGTCCCTGTGGGTGTCAGGTAATGACATCACAGAGCAACACCTGACTTCCTCTCCTTAGAGACTAGCTTCTTTGGACTTTCTTCAGCCCAGGAACAAGACTTGCTTTATAGTCAGGTGCAAACATTTTACACTTTAACCAAATGTTTGTGAAGCATTTTCACATGCCTCATCTCATTTGATCCTCACAGAAGTCCTGGAGTAGGTAGATAGGAGACTCAGTAGGATCCTATTTTCTTTTCATTAGCCAGAAAACGGAGATTTAGAAAGTTTAGAAACATGACCCAACTGAAAAGAAGTAAGAAATGGTGGAACTCGAAAATGACTGCAGGTTTTTTCACTGCACAGAATATAATCAAACACTGCTATAGTCAAATGTTTTACCTTTTTTTCTTTCTGCGTGAGTTATAATAATTATTTGCTTTGTGTTGATATTTACTGCTATGTTGCTGATAATTACTTGAAAGAGAAGTTGGGGTGTTTCACTGGACTGGAAAAAATTTAGCTAAATCAGAAAGCAGGTCTAATTAAGCAAGTTTATATATATATATATAGCTAAGTAGACTCCCACATGTACGATACATATAAAGCTCACGCTGGTACCGATTGCATGCATTTGTTTTGATCCGTCATTGTTGGTCGTGAATTTGGTTGATACTTCACAACCAAATAGAGAAAGAGTGAATAGCAGTATTAAAATATTTCTTCTAATTTCCTTTCAATATGCATGAATCTGTGCATGGGGACACTAGTGAGATCATAAGGATGGAACCTAATTCAATAGGACTAGTGTGCTTAAAAGAAGAGGAAAGACACCAGGGAAAAAAAGTCATGGAGGATACAGTAAGAAAATGGCTGTCCAGAAGCCAAGGCGTGAGGCCTCAGTAGAAACCAGCTGTGCTGGTAACTGGAGTTCTCTAGATTTTCTCTCGCTCTGTTCTCAGTGTCCGGTTGTCATTGAGGCAGGCCAGAGAACCAGGAGGTCTGGTGCCGCAGAGAAGGCAACATTTGATGCCAGTTTGCGGCCATATAGTAAGCATTGGTTTTATTGGCCAGTGTTAGATGTTTGTTTTGTTTTGTGTTGTTTTCCTACAGGTAAGCTTTGTTATTATGCTTTAAACTGTGGTGCGTTTTACTCAGAAATTTAAGACTTGACTTTATTTTTTCAGGTTTAAGCCATTTTTTCCATTCCAAACCTTGCAAGGATTTGAAGAAGATGAAGAAGACCATATCCATATACAACAATGGGCACTTACTGAAGGCCGTCTTAAAGTTACATTGTTAGAATGCAGCAGGTATGGTCTTTGTTTTGTCATTACTACACTGTGGGAAAGAAAGTGCAATAAAATGTGCTTAAGCAGTATTTGTGTTTACTTTCCCTCTGAGCTGATTTATATTGTATTATCTGTAAATTATTTAATCGTAAATTAAAAATAATTCCAGTTTGCAAAATATATATATATATATATATATATATATATATATATATATATATATACACACACACACACACACACACACACATTCTAATGGGGTTGGGGGGCATTTATTCTTTATAATTCCCAAACTTTTTAGATGCATGACACTCTGTTGGCATACCTGACATACCTATGGAGAGCAGTTCATAGCATAACAGTTTTGAGGATTGTTTGTGATCATTGAAAATACTATGGAAAGTTGAAAAATCAGACTTGGAAACCCCTGTGATGCTTAGAATTTTAGAGCTTTCTGAAAGAATCTGGCCCAGCCTCCTTATTTTATTTTACCAGCCCCATAGTCTAAGCCAGTGGTCGGCAAATTAATTAGGCAACAGAGCCAAATACCAACAATGCAACAATTGAAATTTCTTTTGAGAGCTAATTTTTTTAAACTTAAACTTCTTCTAATGCCACTTCTTCAAAATAGACTCACCTAAGCCGTGGTATTTTGTGGAAGAGCTACACTCAAGGGGCCAAAGAGCCACACATGGCTCGCGAGCCGCGGTTTGCTGACCACGGATCTAGAATACAGACTCAAATCCTTTCCAGGGCCTACACACCCCTCTGACCTTTCTAATTTCTTTGATCAGCACCTCACTCAGTACTTCACTTCAACCACATAGGATGGCAGACTCTTTCTCTAAAGGGCTAGATTATAAATATTTTAGGCTTTATGATTTACATGGTGTCTGTTGGAACTACTCAACTCAGCCTTGTAGTATGAAAGCAGTCAGAAATAGGCAATAGGTCAACAAATGGGTGTGGCATGGTTGTGTCTATAAAATTGTGTATATTTATGTATAATTCTGAATATATGTGAGTTTTGTAATTTTTATGTGGCATGAAATATCCTCCCCCCTCCCACCCATTTAAAAATGTAAAAACCATTGGTAGTCCACAGGCCATACAAAAATAAGCAGTGAGCTAGATTTGGCCCATAGACAACCACAGTTCACCATTCCCTGCCTTAGATATTTTAAAGTACCAAGGCCCTTGTGTGTACACTCCACTGTTTCTCTACTGAAAGCGCTACCCCATTTTCTGCTTGTTAAAACCAACCTTTCTTGGTTCACCTCAAAAGCTACATCTTTAATGTGTCTCCTAACCATTCCAAGTACAAGCATACTGTCCTTTTGCTACTTTTCTGTGACACTTGTTTATACCACTTGTTTGGTACTTATCACTTCTATTTTTATTTCCAACTCATAATAAAAACAAGTGCTTGGATACAGAGGTTATATTTTTGTACTTCATATATTTATGTCCTTGCTAATAAATAGGTTAATTTTGAATACCTTAGTAATAATATGATAAATATTTTTGTTTGTCTTAGAGTGACTCATAATTGTGCACTGTTATGTCAGAAAGCTAGTTGAAAAGGAATTCTTTTATCAAAGAAAGACTAAATCTGTAAATTTTGTAAAAAGGAACTTTAGTATACAATAAAATGACATATACAATAAAATATGGTTCTACACAAGTCTGAATTTGAAGTAGCTAAGCTAATATAAGTATGAAATTATGTTAATATTTAGGATATTTTTCAAGTGGCCTAAGTCTAAGGAAATTTTGAAGTGATGTTTTCATTTTTCCCCCCAGTGAATATTCTTATTGATCCACAGGCATCAGAATCATACTTAATGGATTATCTTTTCCAAAATAATCATAGTAACTTCTAACCATTTGAAGGGCAGGTTTGCACAAAATTTCTTGACTATACTGTTATCAATTCCTATCTACCTACTCATCCACCCATCCCCAGATCTGCCAAGAGAGCCTTGAAGGAGATTTATTTATTTATTTATTCATTCATTCATCTAACTTGCCTGCTGTAAAGCTTTGAGAGTGAACTTTGCCAGTGAGGGAAAAAATTAGAAGTAGTCATAGAAAACAAATTGTTTATTGAAAATATTGGAGTTATTGTACAACTGGAAACTTTATGCTTTAGGAGGCAATATGAAGTGGAAGTAATACCAACTTCTGAATTAGAAAGTGCTGTCTTTACATTTTAGTTGTGTATCCTTACTGTTAGATATTCTTAGACAAGTTTCATATCTGGAAAATATGAAACAAGTTTCATTAGACAAGTTTCATATCTGGAAAATGGAAGGCTACCTACTACCTTATCAGTAATTATGCTCAGAATAGGGAAATAAACCGCAGTGGCTACTATATTGAAAGTCTCCAGTAGCTGAAGCTTCTATTATTATGCCTCAGTGTAATCATTAGAGTGTTTACCAAGAGGAAAACAAATCTTTAGACAAACCTGTTCTTTTTGCATAATTGGTTGTGAGAACTGGAATTTACATTTTATTAACTTAGAAGGATCTCAGACTGTAAAGAGAGGTTCTTTTTTAATTATCTGAAGTAGAGTTTGAACTTCCCAATTACAAGTTTGGGTGTGGAAACACAATTTTGTTTGTAAAACGTGGTTCTAATTGCATTTTTTTTGCATTAAACTAAAATTGACTTTTAAAGTTCCCAATGACCTCAATTTATGTATTTGTAGTGCTTCTATTAGAAGATTTAATTATTGCACATTAGTGTTACAATCATATTGTTAAAACTATTTTTAAATTTGTAATTTATAGTCTAAAAAGGGTTTCAATATTTTGCAAAGAAAACAAATGCCCATGTGCAGTTAAATAGAAAATATAAATTAAAAACAACCATATAGAGAAGAGAAGATCAGTTTTCTGGCAGCAGAGGAAACTTAATGGATAACTTAACTCTCATTTTCCAACAAACTGTGCATGTTCTTTAGGAGAAAAGAAATTTGGCCTCAAATTCTATTAATAGGGATTTGTCACATATTCTTTATGGAAAAGACAATGAAGTAATAAATACATTTTCTTATTTTTTATTTTTATTTTTAAAATACATTTTATTGATTTTTTTTTTACAGAGAGGAAGGGAGAGAGATAGAGAGCTAGAAACGTCAATGAGAGAGAAACATCCACCAGCTGCCTCTTGCACACCCCCTGCCGGGGATGTGCCCACAACCAATGTACATGCCCTTGACCAGAATCGAACCTGGGACCTTTCAGTCTGCAGACCGACGCTCTACCAGTGAGCCAAACCGGTTTCGGCTTTTTTTTTTTTTGGCTGGTTTTATCAACCAGATTTATTTTTAAAACAAACCAAGATTATAGTCAGTGAAAGCAAAGCCTATATGGTTTTGTGGTGTAAGATTCTGTACTCTAAAATGGTGTATTTAGGATATAGCCTGTCCTAATTATAGATAGAAGATTCTAATTAAGGTCACTTCTTCACTGAGTCACACTTACACTGTTCTAAAGCCTGTATTTTCTCAGCAGCTTTTGGAATGCCTATTTTATTTTACTGGGTTCCAAAAATATATCACTTTAAAAAAATGTTTAATGGTAACACAAACTATAGCAGTTGACATTTTACTCTATTTCCAGGAGACCTTACCTTATTCCCCAATTATCTATTATCGGCACAGACTCATAGATTCTTATATTTTTCAATGGTTATAATTCTTTATTATTTTTAATTATTTTGTTGTGAATTGTTCCTGATTTGGCCATTTGGAACCGCTTCAAACTTGGCTCTGTATGCTTGTGACATGAGCCTGTCTTTTTTTTTTTTTTTTTTAAGCTCTTCTTTCTGGTATAACAAATTGTTCCAGGTTTATTTTGTATCTTTGCCATAGTCCTAGAATCAGCTATTTTACTAAAGAGCCCTGGTTCCTTTTAATAGAGAATGATATTAAAAATCAAGACCTGGGTGTTGTTCACTGCTACTTCATATACTCAGAGGTCCCTTCAGTGGACAGAGTTGTGAAATACATACATGTATAGATACTTACACATATATGCATACACATACACAATTTAGCAATCATAAGTTCACCCAATATTTCCAATTCTAGTTTATCCTAGAGTTGTTCCTTGCCTTGGTTCGTTCTTCCTCTCATATTTTTATGTCCCCTGAACCCTAGCTCCAGTAACATCAGCACTTGTACTCATTTCTTCAGTTCTGTAATAACATCTCAAATAGTTGCAGAATTGCTCTATTATAAGTACAGAAACATACTTATTAAAAGAAATTCAGGATTTATTTGAAGTCTCCTCTACACTACACAAGATTGAGAGTGTATGGTCAAATACTGTACAGCCATATGTTGCATAGTGACATTTTGGTCAACAATGGACCACATAAATGATGTTGGTTTCATAATCTTATGAGCTCAGTTTCCTATTTAAAAATGGAAGGATATGAGATTCCAGAGGAATTTTTTTTCTCTGATGGGAGAAGTATCTGTGGGGCTTGGCAATAGATTGCCTCTCATTTAGAGCACCTCAATTTTTTTATGCAGAGATTACATCCCAGTCAGCCACTGACCTCTGTTAGCACAGAAGATCCTGCCCCTTCCCCTTACCCCTCCATCACTAAATATTCAGAAGCTGCAGCCCTTCCAGATCTAGCTTGATGGTCTTCAGAATGCATTGCTATAAATTCTTCATTGAGACTTAAGGTCCTGAACAAGGACACAGGTCCACAGGATTTTCTCTCATTGTGTGGGTTGGTGGTATCCTTTGAAGCACAAAAAAATTAATTTCAGTGATGTCCCGTTTATGTTTTTTATTTTTGTGTCCTATCTTAAGAAACCATTGTCTTATCCAAAGAACTATTGCACAATCTAAGAATTGTGTTTTCTTGTTTTCTGAATCCTAAAGATTTAATATCTATTGGGAATTCGGAAACTACTATTATAGCTGGTGCATAGCTTTCTCTGCACTGTCTTCAAGGCCCTTACTTGGGTAGTTTGCGCTTTTGAACAGATGGTGGCAGCAAAGCTTTGATAAATGAAAATTCTCATTTTCCTAAACTTTGCCTTTTATAATTCTGAATCTTATGTTTTTGGCAGTAGGTTGTTGAATACTTTTTAAATTTCCTTTTAAGATTAAAATTTATTTAAATTTATGGATTTCTTTTTGCCATGATTTTGTTCAGGCTTTTTAGTTCATGAAGCCAGTTGGTTAGGCATTTTTCTCATATTGCTCTGATGTGTTTTATCCATTCTAATTTCATTATCTCCTACCCCCATGGTATTCATGTAGAAGTAAAGTAATGGAGTGGTAATCATGATGTTGATTAACAGCTAAAGATGTTCTCAAGCTTACTACTAAAACATATTGTCAGACTTACGTTCTTATTTAACAGATAGATAATGTAGGACATGTAGGTAACATTTTTTCCTCCAATAATAAAAACTGCCTAATATGATCTCAAGATTAGACTTGGGATTTCATTTTAAAATATGAATATTAAGCAGTAAAATTAGGTGATACAGTTATTCCTTGGTAATTGTTTTCAAGATAATAGGAATAACAAACACTTATTGAGCACTTATTGTTTGCTAGGTACTATGCTAAATGCCTTGTATGCATTGTTTTCTTTTACTCTTACAACGGCTTTAAGAATTAAGTACTATATTTCCCCTGAATTGTTCAAAGGAAGAAATGGGCTTAGAGAAATAAATTCAGTCATATTAGTAGATGGAGGTAGGTGTGTGTGTGTGTGTGTGTGTGTGTGTGTGTGCACGCGCGCTTATGTGTATTTGTGTTCACAAGCAACTATTTGTACTATATCTTATTCATAAAAATTACTTTCTGTTTGTTTGATTTAGCCACTGAAAAATAATTTTTCCTGGAATGTCACCTAATTTTAGCTTTACTTCAGTTTTCCACTAGAGTGTATACCAAGTATTTGATTTAAGTTTTTCTGTTATCAAAATTATAATAGTAACAGTAATTTATTACTTCTTGGTATAATGATTTGAAAGCACAATTTTAATGTACATAACTGGTACAATAATCTTGTTTTATTTTTATATTGCAGGTTACTCATTTTTGGATCCTATGACAGAGAGGCAAATATTCATTGCACACTTGAGTTGAGCAGTAGTGTTTGGGAAGAAAAACAAAGGAGTTCTATTAAGACGGTAAAACTGATTTGCATAGTTTTACATCTGTATAAAGTTTGTATTCTATATGCATACTTTTATTAATATTTCTATATTCTTAGTTATTTTTGATCATGTGCAAATAATTATGAACAGCTTTTATTCTTCTTTTTATAATACAACATCAGTAATGAAATGGATCACATAAAACTATAGTATTCAGATTGCTTGCTTGCATAAGATATCTAGCCTAATTTCCCTTCTGTATGGGAGACGTGAGGGCAGGTATGTTTGAGTAATTGAAAGAAGGTAGTCTAGCCTTAAGTGAGGTGGAGTCATACTTACTCATATAGGGCATGGCAAGGATTTTGGATTTAATTCTTTGTGGTGGGATAGTTTTAAGATAGGGAGTGACAAGATCTTGTGTACATTGAGTAAAAAAAAAGTGTTCTTCTGTATACAGAAAGGATGGTAGGAGGCTGAGAGTAAACTTAAGGGAGATCAGGAGGCATTCTGGGGAAGGCATTCAGGAGGTGGTAGCGGAGGAAATGGAAAGAATAGATTTGGGATATACTTTTGGTGTGTTAAGGACTAAATGTTCTGGTTTCTTTTTTGATATATCAAAAAGAGATTTTCACCTAAATTGTAAAACTTTGGGGGGGAAATAGGCTTTTAAAATATTTTAAGTGCTAGAAATAAAAATGAACAAAAATTGCTTCCAACTCAACATGTTTTAATTTGGACTTGTTGGGTTTGAGTTCTTAAATAAAAATTGTCACTATTTTTTTCCCCAAATTTGAGTTGATATTTCTGAATGTTTCCCATAGAAGTTTTAATAGGAATTATGATACACTTCTTGGAATTTGCATAAATCTAGTAGTTTATTAAAGATTTAGAGCATTTATCAAAATGTTGTCTACAAAATTGCTTTATTAAGCCCGTGAAGTTTTGCATTGGAAATAAAATCCCAGAATTTTATGTCTGGAGTTGAAAAATAATTTATGCCATCAAAGAACATGTAGCCTTTCTTGATTTTTAAAAATAGTTATTTCATATGCTAAGCTTACATTAAACTATTATGCATTTGGTAATAATAGAACTCCAGAATGCTTCTTGGATTTCCCAAATTTCTCTAGGTTACTTCTAGTCTTTTTAAATATTAGATCTATTTAACACATCAATAGTTTTTTGCAGAAATAAATTATAGATATATTCTTTAAAGATGTATTTAATAACTTAAAATTTCAGCTATTTCTATCACAGTGAGCTCTTGGTAGCCATATAGCCAATATTTAGGAAAACTATTTCTCTAATATGTCCTCAGTATATTGGTGAATAGGTACTTTTGAAGTATGTTTACATAGTTGTTTTATAGTAGTAGTAATGTGCTTTTTGGTTTTTCTAGAATAGTATATTATACTTCATAGCATTTTTAAAAATAGTCACAATTCTTTATTTTTTTAAATAGGCTCCTAAGCATATTGACTTTTGAAGGTTATGTGGTACCCTTTTTTATAGATGCATCCTTGACTTTTAAATTGTTTCCAGTGTCTCTATGTAATAACTGTTGTGTATATCCTTATATAACATAGGGCAGTGTGAAATTATTTTGGAATAAGTAGAGTAATTTTGATCAGGGTGGGAATATAGGGGGAAGTAAAGCTGGAAAGAGGATGGGCTGAACCACAGAGTTTTAATTTATGAAAGTATTTGGGAGCTATTGAAGATTTTGAACATGAAAATGACATTGTCAAAATAGTGGTTTTTAGGAAATTCTCCCCCTTTTTGGTGGTTGTGCATGCCTTAACTTTAAGTTACATCTCAGTCAATTTGAAGCAGCTCCCCAGAGGAATAAAATAACCAGCTTTACAGTTTGTTCTGAAATATATAAATACATGAAAAAGCAATATTGTTTTGTCTGGGTATGAAATAGTCATAACTTGCCATTGCTATTGGCATTTTCAGTTTCCCTTATATCAGATTAGACAGCTTTAATATTTTATAACAAAAATTAGTAAGACTTTAATCTTGTCATAATTTTAGATCTTAGCATATGTCATAGCTAGTTTTGGAAAAAAAATTCTAGTTACTAATTACATTTGTTCTCAAAAATGTCAACAACAGTTAAGTGTCTTCAGGCATTAAATTACATATGTCTGAATTTAATAACTAGGGAGGAGAATTAGAGTGCTCTTCAAGACTACATAAGACATTGTAGGATAGGATTTGAAAATTTGGAATATATTATAAATTTGGATGGAAAATGTATCATTAAAAACAAGTATGCTAAAGAACTCAATGATTTTGGAAGCTATTTTTTATATACAATCTTCAGGCTTAAATTAGTTTTTTAAATGTTAAAATTTATTCACTAATTTTAGTGTACAGAATGAAAGAAACTTAATATCTTTCATATTTTAAGTATAACTTTGAGTTTTTAAAGCATTTATAATGTACCTTATGCCATTAAGAGGGAAGATCAATAACAGATGGAAAGCTTTAGATTTGTAATACAAATGTCGGGGGTAGAGATGGAACAGTTGTAATGCATTAGCTGGAAGTATTAGCAAATCTAATGAATGTGGCTTAAGCAGAAAAAAGAGACTTTCTTGTGCGATAAGCTTGTAGTTAGTATATAATCAAGGAGCTGGCTCTTACTGGCTTTCTCCTCCATCATCCTTAGCATGGGGGTTTTATTCTTATCGTTGCAAATTATCTAGTGTACCCTTAGGTATCCTCCTTTCAAGAAAAATGATGAGCTATAAGGCATGGCAGAGGCACATGTCAGTCAGGTTTTGTCCTTCTAAAATTCTTTCCTGGAAGCTCCACTCAGGGATTTTGACTTATATCTCATTGATAAGAACTAAGTCATATGGTCTCTACTACCAGCAAGGAAGTATGGGGACACTTTGAGTTAAAAGAAAAGGGTTATGAATACCTTTTAGGTGGTCAGTCCACAGTCTTACCATAAGAAAAATTTAAATCTATTTGATGATTTTTTTGTTTGTAAGGGGATTTTTTTTTTCTCTCTTAAGTTGGGTATCAGGGAATATTGCAAAGAATAACACATAGCTTGCATAAAGCCTACTTTCTACCTTATTAGAAATCCAAGGCAAGTTTGGGGCAAAATCAGACACTCATTCACTGACTTGCTTATTATTTCACTTGCAAAATAAAAGAGCTCATAGAATAAATGAGGTACTTGTGTTTATTCTTTAAAAATAATAAGCAAAGATTCCTCATGAGAATCCCATTAAATGTGATAGCTGAGGTGAAAATAAATTAGATATTAGGTTTAAACAAACATTAGAGAATTATCTTACAAGAGATGACAAAGTCAATATTAAAAATATGTTCACCTTGCCGAAACCGGTTTTCTCAGTGGATAGAGCGTAGGCCTGAGGACTGAAGGGTCCCGGGTTTGATTCCGGTCAAGGGCATGTACCTTGGCTGCGGGCACATCCCCGGTAGGTCGATGTCTCTCTCTCATCGACGTTTCTCGCTCTCTATCCCTCTTCCTTTCTCTCTGTAAAAAAAATAAATAAACAAAATATATATATATTTAAAAATATGTGCACCTTTACTAAAAGAGACAAGGCAAGTTTATTTTCATTCTTTAGCAATATGCAGGCTTGGTGATGATAATTTGCTTCCCTTTCACTAATGAATAAATTTCAGTTTCAGATTTTTAAAAATGCTCATTTCAGGCAATGATTAATATTCCAGTTGGAAACTTCATGGACAACTATATATCTCTAGAATTTATAGTGTTTATCAAGTAAAATTCATAGTGCTCATCAAATAAAATTCACAGTAAATTAATCGGACATATTAAAGCATACATAATCATTATTGTGTGAATACTAAAACAAACATCATATAAATATCACATAAACACACACAGTTTTAAATAGAGAGATCCTGAGTGTCACTTTCCTCTGAATCTGGGAGTTCTGAGATAGTGGGAAAGGCCTTGGGCCAGCTGGCACTTAGCTGTTCTGCCTAGCTCTTTCCCTTGTTCTCCATTTTAAATAAAACGGTGAAATGAGTTTAAGTTTGAAAACAAGCTTTTTAATGTTCATTTTATCCTGTCCCTGTTCCCTCTGTACTCAGGCATTTGAAAGCAATTGTCCTTTATAAGAGACTGGTCTTTCCTTCTGTGATTAGACAGAATGTTAAAAATCCAAATAACTGTTAAGTCAGTAGTACCTTGACATAAATATGTTACTATCAAAGAAGAAGGAAGAATATGGGCTTCTTGTTCTGAAATGAAGACAGAATTAGAAAAGTAACTTTTGGGTACTTAGGATGTAGTACACAGTGGATGGGCAGAAGAGATGCTGGAACCGGCATGTGTTCAGTATAAATAGAAGCAGAAGCACTTCAGGTTTGTGTAGATGAATATTCAGGTACCAGAGGGAATTGTGGTGAAAGGCATTAGATGTCATGATATATCAGACCTTCCTGAAAAATAAGAAGTAATAAATCCCTGAAGGGCATTCAGCTAACAATTGGGGAGAATTTCTAAATGGTAATTTGGAATTCTTAATTAGAATGAGTATATTGTTTTCAGAGGGTTATAGGGTATCAGTTGGCAACTTCCAGTTGGCAATTACCAGTTGGCAACTTCAACTGGCAACTGCTAAAGGCTTTATTTATTTTAATTTTTTTTTACAGCAAAGGTGGAAATTTATTGAAGAACAAATACAGACTCCCACGTGGGGAAGGAGAAAGAATCTCACAGCACAGACTCCCATGTGGGGGTGGGGAAAGAGTCCCCTGCTAAGGGCTTTAAATAGGGTCAGCTGTACCCAGAATTATGAAGTCAGAAGAATTCATCTTCTAGAGTCAATATTTTATCTTTTTTTAAAATATATTTTTATTGCTTTTAGAGAGGAAGGGAGAGGGAGAGAGAGATAGAAACATCAATGATGAGAAAGAACCATTGATGAGCCGCCTCCTGCACATCCCCTACCAACGATCAAGCCAGCAACCTGGGCATGTGCCCTTGACTGGAATCAAACTCGTGACCCTTCTGT